CAAAAGTGATGGGAGGGGACGAAAAAGGGTCCGTCCGGAGATGGGGGTGGGTTGTGTGACCCTCGCTTCCACTGGCAAGGGCAAAAAGAGAGTTCTGTCAGGTCAGGAGAGGCTTGGTGTATGATCGGCGCTAGACATGCACAATGATTGCAGGTGGTAGGCGACATCCGCCCCTGGTGTTCCCGCCCTCTAGAGTCGTATCAGCGGCTGCAGACTGATCATTGATCCACCTCGGGTGCCCTGATGATGACGGGACGAAGCACTTGATCCTTGAACGATGTGTGTGCAGTTGGCGCTCGGTCCGTATCGGTCATGTTCGTGTGTGCCTCTCTCGTTCCATGGCGGCTCCGTGTGTCTCCGTGTGTGAGACCTTGCTCAGCTGGTGTCTCCACGCTCGAACGTGAGATGTGGGCTCGTGGGCAAGAGTCAGCGATGACAAGTCGGCGCCAACGTGGTCCAAGGCGGCGCTAGGAGTCGAGTCCGGTGGGCTGTGATGCCGCGGGAGCTGTGCGGGACGCTACCAGGAGCGTGCCTCTCCTGCGGAACACGACAGGTACGACGGTCGGGTTAGACGGTGACCCAACTGGAGCGGAACCTCGGGGCTGCTGTCCGGTGGGTGTCAGACAGAGTGAGGCGCGCGTGGTCTGGCCGGCATGGGATGGATCCGCGGCGTGTACTCCGACATGCCGCGCCCACCGCGTCCGCCGCATCGGGGCAAGTGAGGGGCCGCTATGGAAAGCCCGACGAAGTCCGGGGGGGCACTGCATTGCAAAAAGTGAGGTCGGCGATGGGGCGGGTCCGGCGGTCGTATGTCTTCGGGGGTATCTCAGTGGTTGGAGGAGCAGGCCGCTAAAAGGGGAGCCAGGCGCAGACGGGATTAGTGATTGTTTCCTCGCACGGGAGCAAACAAGCTGTGCTCGGTGCGCTATAAGTACGCGCGAAGCCCGGAAACGTTTAGCGGTAAGGATGGAAAGGGGACCGTCCCAAGTTCGCGTGGCCCCTTTCCCCCTCCCCCAACTGACCGTTGGGTTTCAAGAGGGGGGGTGCTGCGAGGAGGATTGACCGTCGAGGCTAGACGTAGAGGCCCAACGTGAAGCAATTGTCTGTTCGCTGTTGTGTGTTTGGCTGGCTGCCTAGCTAACGGCAACGGTCAGGTCTTCTGGTCGTGGCATGCGGGGAGGGAAGAGACCAGAGAGGCTCCGGCGGATCGTGAGAAACCATCGTGGCTCAGGCCGCCGCGCAAATCGCGGAGCTGAACCACCGTGGCCTGTCGGACCGACGCCAGGGGCATCGCTCGTTCGGACAGCAAAAGTACTTTTGCGAGTTGTTCGGGTCGCGCGAGGGGCGTTGGGCGCTGAATCTGACAAGTCGCTTTCGATTCAGAGTTTGCCATCTCTCATGCGGCCTCGCTCTTTGCCATCAACTTTGGGTGCTGCAGATGGGCTGCAGGTGCGAGTCAGTGGCGATTGAAGGGCATAGATGATCGTCTTCTGGCAGGCTTGGCGGATGATCTTGGCTTTGGGAGAGGGGCTTGACGTGCCTGCAAGTGCTCTCAGATTGTGGCCGGAACTGTGTATCCGCGAGAGGGGATATCATCCCACGCCAGTACAAGCTCCCTGATGGATAGACATCGAGACCAGTGGTGGATGCGGCTTGCAGCTGTGGAGGATATTCCGAGGCCTGAGCGGTGTTGAACGGTGGGTACTGCATGTCGAGTGGAGGCGATGCGAGGAAGAGCGCACTGAAGAAAAAGGAAAAGAAGAACGTGTCAACACATCCAAATGGGTTTCGTAAGAAGTCAAGACCAGTCGTCTGCGAGAATGATTTTGCATGATAAAGTCGGGTAGGTGGAAGATGAAATGACATGCAGGCAGGTTGCACTGCAATTGGAGGCGTAAATGCCCGAAGAATGACTAATCACGCCCACGACGACGCCGACATCACCTGACCTGGGGGCGGGGAAGCATGTACCGTACCATGGATTCATCTGCCGGGGCTGGAGCGGCTGAAGCCTCGGTGGGGAAGGGCGATGCAACTAGGGCCCCCGAACCACCCGTGCCTGCGCCCCCAGCGCGCCGCTTGCTGACTTCTTGTCTGACTTTGAACATCCCGAATGCCCTCGCGACACCACCGGATGCGAACTGGTATTCATTGATACGCCACCGCGAAATGGGCTTGGGAATCCTAGAGTCCAGGTCCTTGGAACACGTTCCAGGTACGCAAACGCCCCTCTTTCCGGACCCTCCCCGCCGCATGGCCCCAGTCGTTCCACCCGCCCACCCGCTGCATTGGAACGACCCCCGTCCCGTCCGGCATCACCGGCCGGACCCCACGATATCCACGAAGATGTCGGACCTCGACTGACAACAAGCTTAGGGACAACGCGATACTATGACGATCCAGATAGGCCTCAGGTCGCCAATGGGACGACCCATGGCCTGAAGGTGGACGCCAGCGGCAAGCTGCCCATCATCCTAGTATGTCACCGAGCCGCCATCAATCGAGATGATCAGCATGCATCATTGCTGACCAGGTGTCCGCGCTCGACAGATCCCTCAACCCTCCGATGACCCAAACGACCCCCTCAACTGGCCGCTCTGGCGCCGCGACCTCATCACATTTACCCTGTCGATGGCCGCCATCTTCGCCACCGCCCTGGGCCCTATCCTGGCCGCCAACACCGTCGTGTTGTCCCTCTGGTTCGGCGAATCCCTGACCAAGACGGCCATGTTGACCGGATACTTCCTCCTCGGTGTCGGCGGCGCGGCCATCTTCTTCGTCCCGTCGGGTCGCGTCTGGGGCAAGCGCCATCTCTTCATCCTGGGCCTCGTCATCCTCGTCGGCTCGGCTGCTTGGGGCGGCGCTGTCGGAACAAACTACAAATCCTTCATCGGCGCTCGTGTCATCCAAGGCGTCGGCTGCTCGCCCTACGAGACTCTGGTCAACGTCGCCGTTGGTGATCTCTACCCGGTCCACCAGCGCGGCATTCGCATGGCCTTTACGAACCTGGCCGTTTTTGGCGGTGCCTTCTTCACACCAATCCTTGTCGGCAAGATCACCGGCACCATTGGCTGGGAGTGGACATTCTATTTTACCGCCATCTTCCTTGCCCTCTCCCTCGTCGCCGTGGTCTTGTTCTGCCCGGAAACCGCTTATCGACGTGACATGTCACTCAACATCGACATGGTGACCGCCGACACTTCGGAGCCCGTGGGCCGCGTGTCTCCATCGAGCGAAGGCCAAAACGACCCCAGCGGTAGCGACGACGTAGAGAAGTTGCATCAGACAGGCGCACAGCCGACCGTGGGTCCCCGTCCGACCATCAACCCCGGCGCGATCCCACCCAAGAAGACCTGGGTCCAGTCCCTGGCGCTGTTCGATGGCAGAAAGACGGACGATAGCTACTTTGAGCTCCTCCTGCGCCCATTCCCGCTCTTCTTCCAGCCGGCCTTCTTCTGGGGTTGTCTGATACAAGGCACCATGATTGGCTGGACAGTCTTCATCGGTGTCATTGTAGCCGCCACGCTGCTCATGCCACCCTTTTTTTGGAGCGAGGTCGAGGCCGGCTACGCCTATGCCGCACCCTTTATTGGCGCTCTCTGTGGCTTTGCCATTGCCGGTCTCTTTTCTGACTGGAGCGCAAAGTACATGACACGCCTCAACAATGGCATTTACGAGCCCGAGTTCCGCATCCTCATGGTCTTCCCCATGTTCATCATTGGCGGTATCGGCCTCTTTGGCTTCGCTCTAACCTCGGGCGAGCTCATCACTGGAAAGTACGCCTGGCCGGTGCCCCTGACCTTCTTCGCATTCGAGGTCGCGGGTATGGTAATTGGCGCGGTCGCCAGCTCCCTGTACATTGTCGACGCATACCGTGAGTCTCTTCTGCCCCTTAGTATGTTGCCGCCACTAACACGTCTGTCCCAGGTGATCTCGCGATCGAGGGCTTCACTTGCATGGCCATCTTCAAGAACTTCCTCGGCTTCGGCCTGACCTTTAGCGCGTATGACTGGATCATCCAGAGCGGCCCCCGCACCGTCATGCTCGCCATCTCCATCGTCCAGGTGGTTGTCTGCGCCACCAGCATCCCCATGTGTATGTTCTGCAACCTTCTTTCTTCTTGCCACATTCTGACCAGCCCCTCTAGATATCTATGGCAAGCGGGTCCGTGCCTACTACCACAAGCATGATCTTCTGAGGTGGACCAAGGGCATTGGCCGACGCCGTTAAGATTGTGATGTGTTGCAGTTTCGGTAATTCTTGAGTGCTTGTCTAGTATTGGTTGGGTATGGGTGTTGTTGTTCCATCAGATCTTGCATGTTGTTTTCAATCTGTTTAGTTCTTGTGGCAGGGAAGGGATAGTAATGTTGCTCATCGTCGGTTCTTGCCAGGGTTTACCATCTCATGCGGAGGCGTTCCGGCTGCCCGCATTCGAATCAAATTCCATCATAATGTCTTCTGTTTGCCAGACCCTCGCCTTTCTCGCTTGCGGATGGGTGCATTGGTGCCCAACGGTGAAGGGTGCAAACGTGGAGCCGTGATCATACAGTAGACGTGTCTACCCCTTACTGGCATTTGATCTCTATGTCCTGGCTTCTTTCATGCATTCGGTACTTGACAAAGTAGAGTTGTTGAAGATGATGAAGGAATTTGGGAGTTTGAGGGGGTTGTTTAGGAGTTCTGGAAAGGTGGCTCACGTTTTGAAGCTACCATCATGTGTGTAATTTCACCTTCTTGACCATCCAAGGCGCTTATCATCCCCTTCTTGCTGGAACTGAAGCTGTTGGAAGCATGTCATGCACGGACTGCATCCCGTTGCTGTCCAGCACCTGCCCCGCGGTGTGCAGTCTTCCGTCCCGGATCCTGATATTGCCCCTTTCGCACACTCGTCACCCACCCACCTACCTTTCGCCGCATGCCGCGTCCCTTCCAGCAGCCCAACAACGCTGAGAGCGTACTTCGCGCCCGGAAGTCCTTTTCCAGGCATCAGAAATCAACCAGCGCGGTTGGAGTAGAGGTTTAACTCGCTGTCTTCCCACACATCCTGGACCGACAGAAACTCGGGTTCGAATCCCGGACCGCGCAACCATTTCCACCTTTCTTTTTTCCACCACGGCGTTCAAACACATGAATTAGATTCTGGTGCAACCTGTCCATGAATTTTGTCGATATTTCCAGGGCTGCACTTCAAGATGAAGCTATCACCACGACTGAACCCTGGGCTGCATGCACCAGCCACATCCACACCACCACAATCAGCCTCACTCTCCCTCATGCCCCCTCCCTGCATGACCCCCAGCCCAGTCGTGCATAATGAGTTAGTTTTGTTTGGTCAAGGACAATCTTCTCCGGTCCATCTAGAAGTCTGTTGGGAGGGGGACCGTCAGACACGTGCACATATTGCAAATAAAACATCAAGGGCTGGCCAGATCAAGCCAGACCGGGCGCTGCCGCGGGCCAAGAAACCCGATGGGGCGGTCCCCTTTTTTCCGCAGCACTGGAGAAAAGTCTTGATTACTGATTCGACGCGCCTAGACGTCGATCCTGCATCGAACAGGGTCTGGACGTGGCCATTGGCCGATTGGGGGCTTTGGGAAAAGCAAGGCCTGGGCATCTCGGCCTGGCATCCCGTGCAAACGTCAGCCAGCCTCCTCTTTGAGAGGGATGGGATGCCGGATGATTTCACAGTGATGGAGATGGATCTAGAACAAGGATAGGCCGGCCATCGCCTGCAGCCTGGCCTGGAATGCTCACATGCAAGGCGCGGTATCGTGGTGGTCCCACACCTTGAAGCAAGATTCTGTCTGGCCTCAGCTGGTCTAGAACTCCAAAGGCTGGCTGGACCCCGATATTTTCCTGGATAGATTGCAGCCGTGGTCTCAGTGTGGCAGGTGGGCGGGATAATCATCCCGTGAGACAAGACATCAGGGTTGCACGAGGATAGCGTTTGTTGTTATGGCAAACGGACGGTTGAAGGCTCAACTGTCACCGAGGGTCACCGAGTACACCGAGGGATGACTGAGCAGACCGACGACAGATCGTGAGATCACACTGCTTGTCGCACGTGTGCACCAGCTGGGTAGGTTTTGAGGGGCTCTGCGGGATCGTCCGGTAGGACAACAGGAAACGGCGCACTAGCCAGGCTGCAGAGGCTCGGACCCAAAACCCTACGCAAAAGGCAGGTGATGGACGGTGCCAGGCAGAGGTACCTCCGAGTACCTCGAAAGCGGAGGCCCAAGCTGGAGCAGATGGGTCGATCAATGGGGGTCGATGATGTAACTGTATCAGCGATCGAGGACCGGGGAGGGCGGCGAGGGAGATCTGGAACATGGCAGCGCATCGAGAAAAGGGGCCGACGATGGCATCACGCCCTAGAGTCTTGTCCAATGATAGCGAGAATCAGAGGACCACTCGGGCTGCTGGCTGGAGCGCCCAGCTTCGCGGCAGCAGCGTGATCAAGGTCGGAGCCATCGGGAGCGGGAGAGTGGCTGAGAGGGAGGTCGTTGAAGAGGCAGGTAGGTACCTGTTGCCTGTAGAGTGCCCAGCAAGGTGATGCGACGTTTTGGAGGTTGCCAGTGCCCAGTGTGTTGTGGGGAACCAGAACGACCAAACCGGGCGCGGCGGCTGCACGGGACCAGGGCAGACAGACACAACGAAGGGACCCCTGCCCTGTCTGCAGGTTCCCAGTCCCGTCGAACACGGGGCGGCGCACCGTTCCAGATCGAATCGAATCTAGGACGGCACTAAAAACTACCTATCAGGAAAACGGAGCGATGGGGGATGTGGAATGGATGATGATGGGATGGAGTTGGTGGGGTGGGGCGGGGTTGAGTGGTCCACGTCCTGTCGGCGCCGGGCTTCACCTCCTTGAGATCCGCCCCTCTTCTCTTACAGTTGTGCTGTTGATGTTGGGCTTTTGCTTCTACCTGTATGGTGGGACGGTGATCCGAAAGAGGGGCCCTATTGTGATGCAAAGTCCAGTCCTGTTTCTGTTTAGTACCTCTGGCCTAGGGTGACCATGCATGACGACGGGGCGGAAGCGCGGCTTGATGGCTGACAACGACGATGCTACCTGACAGGGCGAATATTTCGGGGCGAGATGGACCGTAACTCGGCGTCTGTCATGTGAGTTCTTTAGGACAAGCTAGAGCGGGATATCTTGCCCTCCTCCCGGCAACGGAGAGTTTGAAGGACTTTCGAGCTCGGTGCGTGACATCTCAGGGCAGAAGTGCACCCTTAAACCCTGAAATGACGGATCCGGCAAGCGTTTCCAGGGTCCCGCCCGTCCGTCTTTTCGATCGATATCGGTTCAACTAGCTACTAGTAGGCAAGGTACAAGCACCCAGGGACACTGGATGCATACAGCCAGCCGGTGTACATACAGACGACCGAAGAATGGAGCCGCCAGCACATCACATCCGACATCCATCCCTTTCGTCCTTCTTCCTTCCTTCTTCCATCCTTCCTCCCTTCCGCCCAGCCCTTGTCTCGAACTCCCCAATGCCTTTTCCTGATTCCCGTGGACCCTCTCATCAGCCCCGTTTCCAGCAAGACGATAACCTCGGACGTCCTTGGACACCGAAGCGGCGAGGCATATCGGTGAGTATTCGTAGTGAGTACGAGAACGAGAGTGCGAGCAGGTGGAGTGCAATGCGGCGGCGCGCGCTGGGTCAGTCCTTGTTCATTATTTCCATTGGCTCATCGACACCGACGGTATGGACCTCGGGGATCTCTAGGGCCCGCGCCTGCGCCTACGAGTCTCTCCAGATGCCTGATCAGCAAACACTAGAACCCGGCCCCGTGGAGCTTCTGTTGTTCACAAAACAGAAAACGCTGGCAGACAGCAGCCTTGTACCGTGCACCATTGCCCATACACCGTGCGAGGTTCCGTCCTGCGTCACACTAGTGCCGCGACCCCACGCGCCGCCACATACCCTGAGCCCGAGTTGGCAAGCGCGGCCCAGTTTTGTGTTCGTTCCTTGATTTGGGGCCAAGCAGTCAGCCAATGGCAGGTTGAACCCCTATGACGTAGGCTCGCGCACGGAAGACGGGGCAGCGCGTCAAGAATCAAATCTTTGACCTCACCAAAAACTTGCGCTGGAGGGCAAGAGGGGTGAGCTTGAGTGGGCCTCGACAAGGACATGGAGGGTCTTTGGGGGGTGTTTTTGAGAGGTGGCTGGACGGATTGGATCCTCTTCATGCTGCCACATGCTGCCGCGCGACTTGACCCGACTCACGTTTGATGAAAAATGAGGGATGAATCGGGAGGGAGGAGACTTCGCGGAATCTCCGCAGAAGCACCCGTTGGACTTCCCGCGTCAGCGGCACCACCGGGGCGAAAGAGGAGAGGGGCCGTCGAGGAAAACAATTTCCAGCACAAGCTTGACCTGGAAGCCCAGTCCAGCCGGGCCAGCGGCTAGCCAGCCCAGCCCAGGCTTCCGGCACTCGAGCTTTTTCCCCTCTTCTCCCCCCTCTTAATTCTTCGTCACTCCGAGAGATGCGGGCTCCGAGGCCGCACACGACACACGCTTCCGACTGCTGCTGGCATGACTTGGCTGATCATTGATCACCCCCTCCCACCCCCGACCGAGGCACCAAGGGTGGAGGGAGCCACTGACGAAAAGATGCGTCGTCGCGGGTACCGTACTTTGACCTAGCACTGTAGTCATAACCGCGCCTGTTTCGTGGCCTGAGGTTTGAAGCATCTGCTGATTGGGGGCGGGCTGGACTACCAGGGAGGGGGTGATCCATCATCCCGGTCACCCGCCCTGCTCCCCCCCTTCTGGCCTTCTGGAGCCACAGACGAGGCTCGACACTTGCCCCGGCCGGACTCGCTCGGCTCATTTTTGCACTGCAAGGCACAATCGTGCCCGGACAAGGGGGGTATGGTCTGGTGGAATAAGGTTGGCTCGTCCTCTGTAGGGAGGTACAGCCCGTTACTTGTCTCCCTCTGAAGTGCTCGTCTCCGGTGCACTATGGAGATCTTTCCAACTGCGGGGGAGTCCGACGTACAGTACCTAGACGCAGACGCAGACGCATTGCAGCCGCGTCGAGGTGAGCTGTCGACGTCGACATGCCGTCCAGCCCAGCCCCAGAGGCCAGAGGGCGAGGCCCAAACGCAACGCGCGCACACACGCTTCATCCACCGCCCGGTCCGCGGAGCTCCAGGCTGCGAGCGCACCCCAGGCCAGGCCAGGGCTTCCTTCTCTGGTAGCTCATCGTCGGCTTTCGCTTCGAGATCACACAACTGTAACACCTCAGCCGTCCGAGCATGGGATGACAGTGGTCCAAGTCCCAAGTCTGAGGTTGGTTGTGGCTTGGACGGAACTTGGTCGTGGGGACCTCGAAGGCGACAAGAGGCAAGTCTGGTCTGCTCCGCTCCGCTCTGCCCTCGCCTCGCCTCTTGCTCCTCGGGAATCGTCGATTTGACACGAGTCGACGCGAATCTTGCCCCTGTGAGATGAGTTTGTGTGTGTGCCAACCGCCTGTTTGCTCGAGTCGCTTACCTGTCTCTCTCCCGCCTTGCTGGGTGTTGCTGTGTCTTGATGGCCCGTCCCTCCGTACCTGGGCCCGCCTCCGCCGTCTGTCGCCCAAAAAAACCGTCGCGGAACCGGCCTCCCCTCCGGGGGTCCCATTTCAACAGCGTCGGCCGGCGCTCTCCCCCCCCTTCCGGATGACGGGCCAATTTTTCCCACTCCCTCACCCCCAGCGTGCTCGTGCCCTCTTCACATCACAACCCGTCGCCGGAAGGGATAAAAAAATAATCACCTCACGCTCGCTCGCTGCGGGCGCCAAATGTGCCACAAGCCACGACCCCCCGACAACAAAACAGTAGCATCCGGTGGCTTCTCGACCACCACGCACCATCCCAAGACCAAACCCCCAACCCCCCTATCCCATCCCCGGCTCCCGGGAGCTCATTTTGAGGCTGCCACTCCGTTCACCGGATATCACCCCTCCCCCCCTCTCCCCATCCGGTGCCTGATTGGGGCTTGCGACGAGGCTGTCTACCACCAGATCAGGCACTCGACCACACGCCCAACGCGAGCAACTTTTCCCGCCAAGTAGCACAAAAAAGACCAGAC